CTAAAAACAAACGCCCATTCTCATTTTTGGGTACGTTCCCATTTTTCCCGCAAGTCTGTTCTAGGTTGTTACCGCTTGGTGGGTAGGTGCTAGGTTGGTTCCAGACGTGGGTAGGTGCTAGGTTGGTGGTGATTTGAGTAGGGTTAGGTTGCTTTTGGGTGGGAAACGGTGCTCGTGCAGGTCTGTACAGATAGGCGGGGCTGCCAAATGTGGGTGCTTGGCGTAGGTGCGTTCCCCTGGTTGCATCGATACTGCGGAGCGTTTTTTCCCGGGATATATTTCCAGCAACCTGTGGTTGAAAGCGATCTAGGTCTTGAGCAAACAAACTTCGGCTTCACGGTCGACGAGGGGAAGGGAGGGCTTAATTCTTATCGCGATACGAACTAGGGCAATCACCGCAGGGGGAACCGCAGGGGGAAAGGTGGGGCAACAAAACAACCAATAAATCAAAGAAAATCTCCTGTCTGTGTGGCTCTCCTCTTGTTTGACCCCGGTTGATACGTCAGGTATATACATACGCCGAAAGGTCTGTAAACTGGCGCCAGAATAGATGGGACGAACACACACACACCACACACATCTTGCATCAATGGCTTCCTAGGTTCGGGCGAGGGCATGTGCGGAGCTGTGACGTGTGTCTCCGTGAAACATTATTTAGAGAGAGTCATATTGGCATTCGCATTTAGCGCATTGCGCATTTTTTCGAATTTTGGCTCCCTTCCATGGACCTTTAAATTACCCGCGGGCACTGACGTCTCTTCATTGGTCAGCCGGTTGGCGCCGTCGATGCTAGTAAACACACGCACACACACGGTGCCATCTCTGCAACTCTTACGGTACCAGCTGGCGTGGTGAGTGATTCAGCGGCGGCGTGTACACAAAAAATCCAAGGGGGATTTGGGAGAAACACTCAAAATTTGTCCATGGGAGGTAAATCATGTGTGTGTGTGTGTGCGTGCGTGTGCCTTGCTTGTTAGCATCGACCGCGCTAACCGGCTGACTACTGGAAGAACGTCAGTCTCAGTGCGGTGGGAATGTGAATGTGTGTGTGTGTATCTTTGGCGAGCATCGAGCGCGGTTGACCAATGAGAAGACGCCAGTCTTAAAGCGCGAAAGCACACGTGGACGCTTTTAGTCGTGGATGTAGGTGTACGGGACGCACCACCACTTAAGAACTTCCTCATTATCTGAGGAAAGGGTTCTTAGTTCATCCTCTGCAAATTATCAACAGCCACGTATAGGCTTTAAGTGTAGGGTTTAGTTTCCATGCACAAATCGCAAGCCCTACATTTGTAGGTCAAACCATTTGATTTCTCTATTGTAGGCAGCGTGAATTTCATTACTGCCAGGCCCTCAAGTGATGGTGCGTTCTGTATTATACTGAAGTATATAATTGCGTCGTCCCTTTCATTCTTGGCGTCAGTTTTTCGTTTTCACATCTTCGGTACCCGTATGTTTCTGGACGCATCAGCGGGGGTCACACAGGAGGCAAGACCGCACAAGAAAGGAGTGCTCTTGAAACATGTTTCATCTGCAGGAGCAACGAAGACTACACTTTGTGCCGCGTTGGTCTGCACCATGTGCGCAACACTCCCGTCTATTCGTCTACTCCTTCATGCCAATCCCGATAGCATCATTTTCTGTGTTTTGGGAGCCGGGCCACCTCACGCAGCCTCACGCGGGTGCGTTTGCTTCCAGAGTATTCCCTCCGAATCGTGATGGTTTCAACGATGTCGTCTTTCTTCGTTTACACACCGCCGGCGCGTGAGATCCAACGACTTGAACCCCTTATGACAAAACGTTTTTCGAAACAGCGGTGTTGTCCTTCTACCCCGTAGCCTCTCCGATGCCTTATCGCCGAATGTTCGCAGGTCGGCGGGGGTGCACCATCAACGACTTGATGGATCAAGACTTCGACCGCAAGGTGACGCGAAGCAAGAAGCGGCCGTTGACATCCGGCGAGCTCGGGAACACGCACGCGATCGCCTTCCTCGGAGCACAGCTCACGCTCTACGTGGCCGGTCTCTTCAGCCTCAACGTCGAGTGCATCAAGCTCGGCTTGGCTGTGTTGCCCCTGGTAGTCGCGTACCCGCTCATGAAGCGCTACACGGACTGGCCCTAGGCCGCCCTGGGCGTGATCTTCAGCTGGGGTGTGATCATGAGATGGGCAGCGGTCCACGGGTCCGCTTCTTGGGAACACGTCTTACCACTGTATGGCACGGGCGTATGCTGGGCCCTTGTGTACGACACCCTCTACGGTCACCAGGACAAGGCGGACGACAAGCGTCTCGGCATTAGATCCACCGCTCTCCTTTTCGGCGACAGAACGAAGCCGATTCTCGACGGGTTCGCGGTAGCGGTGGTGGGGCTGTTGGTGGCCACGGGGATTGCGGCGGGTCTGCCATGACCGTTCTATACGGGCACTGGTACTGCAGGGTGGCACCTTGCGTGGCAGGCTTACACCGCGGATCTCGAAGACCCAGCAATGCTTTTCAGGATTTTCATCTCCAATCAGCATTTAGACGTCTTGGGGTTCGCGAGCATCGTGTGCGGGCATTTCTGATAGAGATCAGCCTTGATACTACGTCGGTGGTGTCGTTCCCGTGATGACGGATGTTGCTGAGCGTGTCGTTCCCGCACGGTCGCGTGTTGCAATCGTCACCATGTGCTACGAAAAGATCTTTGGCCCATCGTCATTGACGTCAGATATCAGGATCGAGTTAGAATGTCAGGTTCGGATCTACGGAGATCTTGGAGGGCTTCATGTATCATGCTGGTATTTGTTGCTATGTTTTCGGCCTGGGGGGTCGCTTTACATGTTCTTGATGCTTTTTCGGCAGTGGAGGCGCCACTTATTTCTACTACGCTTTTTGTGGTTGTTTCGCGGCCACGAAACGCCGTTCTACCGCCGGGGGGGGCGCTACTTGTTGTTTTGTAGTTATTTATTTGCTTCTGTCTCCATGAAGCGTGCGAGCAGCGTTCTTGCCGTGCTGCTACAAAGAATCATGGGGGGGGGGGGGGGGT